TTTTTTTTTTTTGCGGATTAAATCTCATCTTTATCATTTTCATGAAAAAGACGTTATATTTTTTCATTTTTTACGAAAAAAGCTCCCAACCATCTAAATGTTTCCAAATAAATCGTCAACTTTTTTCGTTTTTCCTGAAAAAACCCTCACATTTTACAATGTTTTTTTTGGAGAAAAAGGACTAAAAGGGTCAGATCGGAAAATATGAAAAAATGCAAAGTTTTTTTCATGAAAAAATAATGTTGAGGTTTAATCCCGAAAAAAACACAAAATATAAGGTCTTTTGTGAGATTAACCTTTTTTTTAATTTTTTTTTCGAAAAGAACCCTAAATCTTCTAACTGTTTCTGAAAAAACCTCAACTTTTTTAGTTTTTTTCGAAAAAGCTCGCATTTTACAAGTTTTTTTTTGGAAAAAAATGAGTAAAAGGGCCGGATGGAAAAAAATGAAAAAAATACAAGGTCTTTTTCAGGAAAAAAATAAAGTTGAGGTTTAATCCGAAAAATACACGAAATATAAGGTCTATTATGAAAAATTTACCGTGTGTTATCCAAGTTCAAGGCAATTTTCACTGCTGTAATTGAGTAGATTTTTCAAAGTACAATGTCCTAATAAGAAAAAAAATGAAAGTACAATGTCCTAATAAGAAAAAATTGAAAGTACAGTGCTATGATTGGATAGAATTTTGAAACTACAATGTGCTAATAAGAAAGAAATGAAAGTACAATGCTGTAATTGGATAGAATTTTCAAAGTACAGTGTGCTAATTAGAAACAAAATTGAAAGTATAATGCTATAATTGGGTAGATTTTATAAAGCACAATGCCTTAATAAGAAAAAATATAGTAGAAAAAATGAAATTAAGATGTTATAATGAACATATAATTGGAAGTTTTGACAATGAAAAAGTCAAACATAGACTGTTTTTGTAACTATCGTCAATGGGAAAAAACTTGCAACTTTTTGTTCCCACCCAAAAAGTTGGGAAATGGACTCACTCTCAACCCCTAGTCTATGAAAAAGACATAAATACCCTCATCATCTAAAATAGCCCTAGAAATCTTGTCTAGTCACGTCCTTGTAACAAGGTAACAAGAAGAAATAAAAAATCGACTCACTTATACCATTGCTTCATTTTTTCTTATTATAGCAGTAAAAATTGCTTAGTATTTGGATAATAACGAATTTGCTATACAATGAAAGTAGGATATGCTATATAATTAACAAACCAACAAAACTACATTTCTATAATCTCTCACTATTCTCAACCATTAAAAATCCTAGATCAAACGCGACATTAATGGTCTCGGATCAACTCGACTCCTCCTCCATACAAAGTAGCAAATCTTTGATGCTACAACGGTTAAGATCCGAATTCGATGACGAAAACCCGCAAATCCGCCGCCGCCAAGTGCGGTTCCAACTGCCGCCCGCCGGTCCGGTGATGGATGCCGCCGTGAAAGACGAGCTTTTGCAGTTGATTCAGGCGAAAGAGGCCGGCGTTGCATATATCATGGGACACTCGTATGTTAAGGCGCGTAGATCCTCTTCTTACTTGAAGAAACTCGTGATTGATATTGGATATTCGTTTCTTCGTAAAAATTGTAGGGGGCCCGCAGTCGCACTTCATATTCCTCATATAAGTTTGATTGAAGTTGGGATGATATATTATGTTTAGGATATGTTGTTGGTATTGCTTGCTTTTTATTTGTTTGTAAGCAATAATATGGAATTATATTTGTATGGATTTTTCTTGAATTTTTAACAAAGTATTTTGGTAATTGTATCCCAACCATGAACCCGTGCTTTTATGTATTGTTCGTGAAAAAAGGATAAATGATCTCTAGGCTCTAACTCATAATGTTAAAAAAATTGTTTAATCCAACCCATTTTGTTGCTTGTGTAAGAAGTAGCTGAAAGTTGGTTTGAGATCTTTAATGAGGGTTTATTTATTTTTTAATTTTTTCGAAAACTATTTATATGAAGTCACATATTGAGGACCCTAACTTCAATTTTAAATGCTCTTAATTCCTGAAATTCTATTTGTCACTTAATTTGTGTGTATGTGTGTGTGAGCGCACTGTTTAAACTCCAATCGCTTTAAGTCTATATAGTGATTAATATGCGCTTCATTATAGATATATTACACAGGTAATTATAAAATTTTTCATTTAACAAATCTTTTTTTTTTTTTTTTTGTTGTTCCATATAAAATAACTATCAATTTTGCAATGTGCAGCTGTGAATTGCGAAATAACTCTAAGCTTTATTTAAAGAACACTTACCTAGTTAGCAATCGATTTATGCAATAACCTCGTAAGTGCAAATTTTAATTTTGTTTAATTGTTTGAAGTTATTCCATTTTATTCATATGCTTGGTCATGGTAGAGGTTTCACTATTTATAGTTTTAGCTGAAGGTTTTTATTTAATTATTATTTGTATTTTTTTTTTTTGCAAATTAAGAGATTTACAATTGCGAATTAAGCTTAATGTCCTTTTAGGGAGATTTTATGAGGGTTTCTCAAAGTTATATATAATTTCACATGTTTAGTACATGTATTTCTATTCCGTGAATGTTCTAAAGTCTAAACTAAAAAGTATCAATTTTACAATTTAGGGAAATTATACAATCGGGTTTCTCTTTTGAAAAAAAAAATTGTACAATCGGGTGTGCAACTTAGAAATTGTGAGTTACGAAATGACCATTTCAATTGTTTTACCGGTTTAGGGTTTTTTTTGATGTCCAAAACTCTTATTTCCACAATGACAGATGATGTGCGCCATAGCTTCAGGATTGGCTAACTACCTTTTGGTTCTATTAGGTTTAGTATTTTTCCATGATGACAATCTTACCCAAAAAGTTACCCGAGCCTATCAATATTACAATACAACATGGGCTAAACTAATGAGCTAAATAATGAAAAGTACATAGTGTACAACATTAATACGCCCTTTTAGTTTGACTGGGAGATAGAGAACGAATGTTCAAATTGGATCAAAAATCTATGCACAAAGATGATGGAATCCCATTCATAAAGATGTCAGCGTACTGATGAACAAAGGGTACTTGTAGAACTTGAATATGGCCAGTGACAACTTTGTGTCCGATAAAGTGTATGTCCATCTCAATATGTTTCTTCCTATGGTTCTGAACTGGATTATTGAAGAGGTAAAAGACATTGACATTGTCGCAATAAACATAAGGTTTTTTTTGAGAGGGGAGTGAAGCTTGCGAAGAAGATTATGTAGCCAACATGTCTTGACTACGACATCAATATCACCTCTATTGCTTCATGTGACATGGGGTAGTTTTTCTATGTTTTTCTTTCGATGGTTTTTGTTTTTTCATTCTTTCTTTTTTCCTTTTCAACTAAATTTTCAAGTGGGTTTCTTGTTCAACTTCCCCAGTTGATTCATCAACATATGGAGTTTTTGTTTGAATCAGTGGTTCTGATTTTCTTGTCCAAATATATTTTCTTATGGGATTCACTAACTGTAACACCCTGTTTCGAGTCGTTCCATAGTTCGGGGCCGTGTCCCGAAGATCAATTATCATAAGGCTTCGGGCCTTGGGGAAGGAGAGGTTTAGACCCATTTGGATGTGGGTAATGTAGATTATGTGATCCAAGAGTTTGGTTAGTGCTTTGGAGCCCAAGGGTATAATGGAAAAAGTGGTGTTTCAGACTTCTTTTATGAATTAAGGATTTTAGTTCGATGTGTTTTAAGTTAAAAGTAATTAGATAGGGTTGTAGAGCTCCTGTCCTCAATACCTTTCCGTGGATATAAAGATCATCGAAATCGGAGTTGAAACGAAGAAGTTATGACCATTTGAAGTTAGGACAGTTTTGGGTTAAGCCGCGTACGCTGGGCGTACGAGGTAGTACACTGGGCGTACTAGGGTATCCCTGAGTACTTTGGGCATACCAGGAGTACGCTGGGCGTACGCGATTAGTGCCCAAACCCTATTTTCGTGGTTTGAGCCTTATTTAAGCTTCTTAACTTCCCCAAACCCATTCCATTCTCAGCCTCCACCTCTCTAACACCCTCCCTTGAAACCCTAACCCTAGTTTGAGCCCTGTGAGCAAAAAAAGGTGTTTTTAAGTGTTTTGGAGTGTTCTTGGTGCATCTTGGAGAAGGAGCTCATTGGAGAAGTGTTGATTGCAATGGAGATTGTAGATCCAAACTTTGTTAACCTTGATCTTTCTTCTAGAGGTATAAAGCTTGAATCTTAATGATGCATTTGTTAGATCTAGCTAGTTTTGGGTCTTATAACTTATAAGCATTTGGTCACTTTAGTGCATAAAGTTTAGATCTTGAAAGTTTGTGACCTTGTTATGGATAAAGTTGGAAATTTTATCCATCTAAACATCATATTGATTCAGATATGAAGGTTGGAGACTTTGACTTAATGGATTAAGTTGAAAAAGATGCACTTTTGGTCCCTTGGAGACTTAAAGACTAGAATAGGGGGTGTAATGCGTGCAATCAGCCGAGCTCAAGTAAGTGATTCCCATAATACCCGGACATGTTTGTTATGATATATGTTATGAGAATTGGATGATAGAATAAGGCTAAGGATTTGCTCAGGATTTCATGATTAGGAGAGATTCCTTTATATGCCTATTGTTTGAGATTTTAGAATTGCATGCTAGTATGGATTTCAGATGATTGGGATAGAATGGGCTGATTTGGTGATGCGCTCGTTAGTTTTTTCGATGCCCGAATGCTGCATGCTTTGTGCTTTGTGGGTGTAACACCCGGTTCCTGGTACACATTTAGTTCCAAGTATTATTGTATTTTACCCTGGGACTCGACGAGTTGAAGGCCTAACTCGTCGAGTCGACACGACTTTGCGCGCGGATTTTAAGTGACCTACTCGACGAGTCGGGAGACCGACACGACGAGTAGGAGCTGTCTGGACAAAACCCTAATATTTAGGGTTTGCACCCTATTTAAACAACTTAACTC